GTTGTTATCATCGGTTTATTTCTGAGGGTCAAACGGCCACACTGCTGCTCATGCATGCAACGAAAAAATGAGTCGGAAGAACATCGTTTTGAATGGGATATGGAAAGGGGTATGGACAGGAGGCAAAAACAGCCAAAGGCCTTTACGAACCACACCTCGGCGAGTGTGAGGACAATATACCTTGAAGACACAATTTGAATTTTGTTTTTAAAGGTATATAAGGGTGTATTTTACCTAGTATGCACTGAATTTTCTAAGCCGTTTTTCCCGTTGTCCATACCATCTATTTCCTCCCATTGTTGAGAATATGTGTGGCTACCATGCATTTGCCATGTAATAAATTAATGCTGCTCAAAATGTTATCATTTCCGTGCATCATTTATTCTAATGGATTGCATTTAAATCCTTGTCGCCCATTGAATTTCAAATATTTTCTACTTGGCGCTATAGTTTGATGGGACGTGTTCTCTTTTTTTTTGGGAATTGCTCTCTATGTGGTGGGAAATCCTCTCTTCATGGAGGGATTTTTCGTCGGAACCATGCTCATTACACACCCTTAAGATTTTTACCGTTGGCAACATTCATTTTGTATGGGCCAGACTCATGTGCCGAGAAATGAGCAACATTCTGCATACCCTGGGAGAAATGGATATTATAGAATTGTGGAAATGTTTGTCATCTGTTTCCAATTTATGTACATATAAACTAGTCAGTCTCTACTTTAAAGCTATCACAACGAAATTTTGCAGCTTGTTCTCTTATTACAGAGACCAAGAATTGGTATCGGGATTAGGATATGTGTACACGAAACTGATCAAATGCATGAATACGTCTAAAACATATCAATTCAAGAAAATTTCTTTATTAATTCCTTTTTAAAAACTGTTTGGAAATAGGGTATATAAATGCCCATACTCCAGTTGACAAGCAACAAGTCTTCAAATACCAGCAACATGTAAGAAATTACGACATTCCATACTCACTTACCTTGCCACTGTTCTGTTGTTGAACTTTTTTGCTTAAACCTTGTTTTCTACACTATACAATAAAAAGATTACTTAAAAGTAAGCAATCTGGTAGAAAATTTATTCATCAATGGCATAAAATTATGTGGGCAGAGCTGGGAGTCTTAGTTAGCCAGCATTATTCAACGGAATATCAAAATTGAGCACTAGCACCGATTACTCATTTGCTTGACCTTTATCGCTAAAACCGTTTCTTAAACCAAATTCTATAGAAAGGAGTAATCAAAACTAACATGTCCTGAAGAAAATTGATCTAGCAATTGGATAAAATTATGTGTTCAGGTATGGAAGTCTTAGCTAGCTAGTAATATCAAATCGAATATCAAAATCAAAGAATATGGTTTCCAATACTCGATGAAGAACGATTAACCCATTGTAGACCAGGGGGTATTTTAAAATACCACTGAAAATAATAATATTTTAATAATTTTGGCGCATTTCAGGTGAAAGATATCATGGATATTTTCGTTGTCGGGAAAGAGGAAGAATCAAGGATACAAGAAGAATATACAAATAGTAATTTTTTCGGCTGTTTTATTCAAGCTGCTGAGCTGTTTAAATATAGGGGGGTTAAGTGGGTTAAGCTCGTTTTTCATCGGACCAACGAATGTCAAAACTTCCACTTTTTTTGAACCGAGCGGTTGCTGCGCGTGTCGTTTTGAAGTAAATAACACTAAATTAATATATAGAGAGCAGTTTTGAACCTTTTTTTTTTGCTCCGGCTGTACGTTCGGGCGTTTTTAGCCAATACAAGAAAAGAAACAAATTTATGATATGTTCCGTGCCTGTGTATTTTCCAGCGGGAAAATTTTATAAACTCGTGGTCGGTGGTGTTTTTTTTTTACCAACATTAAAAATTGTTCATGGAAATGGGAAAATAAAAATATGAATTGTGGATTGTTGTGTCTCTTGTGCTTGCTAGTGCCCGCAGAAATTAATGTGGTATACACATAAAACAAACAAGATTATTGAAGTAATCGCGACTACTTGTATTCCCTTGTATACACACTGTTTTGGGCGCGTCTCTTTTTTTTTTTTTGTTCCTTCGTCCGTGTGTGTTCGCTTGTGTCTTGTTCGTTCAAGTAGCTGCTTATGTGTTTATGTTCTAAAAAGCAACAAAGATATGTTGAATTAAGCAATATGTGGATCAAATATTGAAACAAGTGTCGCCAAATTGTGATTTTCTCGTTGAGTTTTCGCTGTCGTTGTCGCTTGCACATACAAACCCATACACCCACAAAACACACACACACACATACTCGTGCAGCAATACCGAAACGAGATTTTGCAAGTCGCGTCCGTGTAGTTGTGCCGTGGCTGTAGTTGTAGTTGTAGCCGTAGCTGTGGTTGCTTGTGCAACTACAACATTCAATTGTTTACTGCTGGGCATAGCTGGCTTCGCAGAAACCAAACCGAAAAGAGTAGAGTGCAGGCAAAAGCAACAAAATCCGTGGGCAACAACAAAGGTGTCACAGTGGCGCCTTCTCACTTCCACCTGCCTCTGCCTCAGCCTCAGCATCTATATCCGTCACTGTGACCGTGCGTGAAGCATAATAGGAGGAATTTGTGCTCTCCTCTCCTGTCCTCTCCACACCGCTCCGTTGTTTGTGATTTCCAATGTAAAAAGCTACAAGTGAAAGTGGCAAACCCTGCTTATCTGCGCCAATTGATACCAGATCGCCAAACCTGCGATTGGCCCAAAGTGGATTACACCCTCACCGACCAACACCCATCTGCATAATCAACTTTGGACTGAACAATAATAAGGTATGTCTGTCTGTATAAACGACCCCACATGAAGTGTGTGAAGAGCATTCCTACTGATAAGGATAATAAGGAAATCGCAACTCTTGCTCTCTGTCCCCTTCCCGTTCTGTATCCGCCCTTGTTGTTTTCGCTTCCGCCTTCTACATGCATCCGCACTTGCTGTAGCATCGTGCTCTCTTCGGCTTGTGTACTTTACTTTTAAATATTTGGGAGAAGCATTTACAATTGACATTGTTAATCGAGTCATCCGCGGAATGCGAGAGCAGAAGAAGCAACGGTGACGTTGTAGGCCACGGGGAGGAGAACACGGAAGTATGGCATTTATTTTCCGTTGTACGTTGTCCGATGTCCGATGTCCGTTGTCTGTTCTCTGTTGTCTGGTCCGGCGTCCCCATGTGCCTGGGATGAGTTTCATTTCTCTATTTGCGGCTTTTCTCCTCATTCGAGTTTTCTTTTGTCAGTTCATTGACTGGGAGAAACCCGCTTTCGTGCAGTTCATTGATAGAAGTGCGTGAAAATGAAATCGTCGCGTCGATAGGCGATAATCAGTAATTTAAGTTGCATCCAAGTTGCATCCGAGAGAGCGGCAGACGTTTCGAGTGCAAGTCGATGAACCCTTTGAAGAACAGCGAGCAAAACAAATGCTAGTCCGTGTCCGAGTCCAAGTGCGAATAGCACTGTGTAAACAAGCGCGAGAAACCTCAAACGGAAACAAAGGGCAAAGCAGAGGAAGAAGAATGAAAGAACCCGTTGTTCTGCCCCAAGCTTTGCCGTGAGACAAGCCTAAGCTCAGCAGGGCTTGACTTCGATTCGGTTATTTCCTCAGCTCTCCAGCGTTCGTTTTCATTTCGTCTCGTCTCGTCTCAGTACTGCAGAGGTGCACACACACACAAACATAAATATGTACATATGATACATGGGTATGGGTGCTTCTGCACTGGGAATTGGATAACTTCTCGCTGAAAAGCAATTTCAGAGATTTCCTTGTGTGTGTGTGTGTGAGAGTATTAACCGATGTAACCTGTAACCAGAGCAGTGAGCAGTGAGAGGGCAATTATATTGTAATTACTCTTTCGAGTGGTGGCAATATATACAATAAGTATGACATAAGCGCTGCAATCGTTTCGGTCGCTGTCAATCCACCATCTACCATCCACCATCCACCTGCCGTCATCCGCATGCAAGTTGCGTCTGCAGACACTTGCCAAATAGTCGAGTTAGTTAACTAAACAGCAGAGCAGAGCAGACTTGAGCAGAGCAGAGTAGTCCAAAAGAAACATGCGCCGCATCCAAAACGGGAATTTGCCTGCGGCCAGCTCCAACGGCAGCAGAAGCCAACCAGTTTTGGGATACAGTTCCGAATCTGGCGACTGGCCGATCGCCGATCACCGATCACCGATCACGGATCACGGGCAACCGCCGCACAGTGGCTCGTTATCCGAAAACCCGTTGAATATTTGGCAAATCTTTAGCTGCACTTCAATTGGGAATTATTCAAAATCAAAATTGTATGTATGTTGAGAAACCCCATATTAAATTTCAAACAGCTATGATTTTTGCAACGTGTTTTAATAAAACGAGCCACTGTGCGCCGCTCGTCCGTTGATCGGTGCTGGTTGCTGGCTGCTGGCTGCTCGTTGTTTGTGTTTGCCAGTGTTTGTGTATGTGTTGTTGGAGCGAATCAAAAACACGAATCGTGTGGAATACTGAAACTGAAAACTAGTTGGAGCTGAAGCTGAAGCCGAAGCATTTAGTGTCGCTATTTTGTGTCTCTCTGTTTTGCTTTTGTGTGGCAAGCGGAAATTAAAATTGATAAATAATTTATTGACAAACCGAAAGTGTCTTGGGATGGGAGACTGCCGTTTCTGATAAACACACGCTTCGCTTGCCTTCCCTTCCCTTCCCTTTCCCGACTATCTCGTTCCCCATGGTGAGCACTGCTCTCGATCGAGCATCAACCAGGGTGTCATCCATTTTTGAGTCCAATGAGCGATAATGACTATTTCCAGCCACATTCTCCTCTCCTTTCAGACAAAGGAAGGTCGCGTAGGTCGCCAAAGCAGGGCTATCAGCGCGGCGCTTTCGGCTTCCCCAGCTTGAGCCGCGACTACCGTCCGTCTGCTCGTCCGCTCGTCCGCTTGCGAGTGTTGTTGCTCTGAGAAGGTGACGCAATCAACGCAAAAAAAACACACATACACTTTTGCTTATTTTTGTATGTGCTTTTGAAATATATAACAATTGTTGAGTGGTTTCCCAGGAGGCGAGAAGACAATCGCCAAGTAAAAGGCCAAATTTGTTCACTGGACAATAAAAGCATTCAACAGATAGGAAGGAGCGACCGGAAGTGCTTGGTCTCCTCCGGGTCCTCTCCAGCTCTCCAATAAAGAGTGCAAAAGTGAAAGTGATGGCAGAGTGTTTGCATATTCACTCGGCAGCGGCAGCAGCAGCAGCAGCCCACGCCTCCGCGTTTTGATTATGAAAAAAAAGCAGCAATTGCAGGTGGCAGGTGGTCTCGGGCCTCAGAAAACTGCTGTTGCCGGTTGCCAGGTGACAATGGGACTTTGGTAAGGTTATTTGGCTCGACGTGGCGACGCTTGACCCCTGGCTGCTCTGAGCTCGTATTACCAGCTAATTAGTTCTATGCGTGGCCGCTAGTGGGTCAGTCAGTCGGCAGCAGCACGAGCAGAAGCAGAGGCAGAAGCACAAAAAGTTAAATTTAAACTGGAACTTGAACTGGCGGCAAAAGAGAAAGAAAGCCAACGCAGGGAAGAGGGACTTCTCCTATTCCTCCTTCACTATTTTCTTAATCTGCCTCGGCGCCTGGGCGGTCGGCGCCTGTTGTAGATGGGTCGTCGTACCTGAGCATGTCCGTGCCGGGGGTGGCGCAGATTGCGGCGCAGCAGCCGACGACGGCGATGACGACGCCTGGCAATCGTGCGCCGAATGATGCGTGCCAAGATGCGCTGCAAGAGAATAGAGAGAGAAAGGGAGGGAGAGAAGAACACATCGTCGCTTACATCTTGTTCGAACAGCCTCCGCTGGGCCGCTGTCAGCGTCTCCCAGAGAGCGGGCGCCTCCTGCAGGAGCCGCCTGAGGCCGTAGCGAGGCTTCTTGCGCTTGAGGTAGCGCAAAAAGTTAAGGTACGGATTCGGGGCCACCAGGCGCGGGTCGTCAACAATGTCTCTGGCTCTGATCGCGTTCATTTCTAGGCCTGATATCTTTCCTACTGCCTACGAGCAAAGTTTATATAAATTGTGTTTACTGTATGGGGATATTTTTTGAACTGTTAAACGTACAGCACACACTGACAAAAGACTGATTCGAATGCGAATACATATACATTCTACATTATACAGACAAGCAGAGTGCATTGCTGGGAGCAGAGCTCGGCAGAGCGTCGCCCGTATACGTACACACGGGCGCTCTTTATCTCCAGAGAACGCCTGCGAATGCATCATCCACCTATTTAGAGGGGAGACGTTTCTCCCTCCCCCCGTCGGTGCCAGCATCCCAGAAGATTATTTATTCATTTTTATATGAATGAGATCTGCAGGCGACGGCGACGGCGACGGCGACGGCGACCCACTGATAAGACGACACTCCGTCGTGCATCCGTCCGATCAAAGTCCAGGCTCTGGTGCCTCTGCTGTGCACTCTAATGTTTCATGTTTACTCTATCATGTTTACTTGCAAGCATCGCCCTCGAACAACAAATACACTCTAGAAATCGGAGTGCATTCGCTTGGCCAGGGCGCAGCTCATAAGCGGACGGAGATGGAGACGTAGGAAGGAAGCAATCGTCGTGAGTAATCCCTTCCGCAGGGCCTTCCGCCGTTGGGCCCACTACTTGTTGCATTTAATTCAGTTCTTAGGCAAAAGACGCGGAACGGAATGGCAGGAATGCTGGCTTTCTGGGCCGTACTGCTTTGCACTGCTTTGTACTGTGGTACTTTAATGTGCGTGCAATATTTCGTACGGGCAATTAAGCATATTCCGAGCTGGCGGCAGTCACGCTTCCCTCCCAGTCGAGCGGGCGCTATGCCATGGCGGTGTGTGCACTGGCACTGTAATGAGTACTTACGGTGCCGCCTGGGCAACCACTTTCCCTGAACGCGCAGAACTTTCGTGATCGTTAAATAAACATTTCGGTAATAATCCGCCGTCCGCCGTCCGCTGGCCGATGCCACACGCTCGCCCTGGGAAAACTTTGGATCAAAACTGTTTCCAAATTTTGTAGCCAGAGATATATTGGCGCGAGGGATTGATGTGGAATCGAGTGGAACCCCTAAAGCCTCTCCCTCCCCCCCATACCCCTCCCCCTTTGTTGTGTAACCCAACTTTCCCTTCACTCAAAAGATGAAAGACGGCCATTAAGCTTTTCCTCTCCCCCTTGCGCTCTCCACTCTCCACTGTCTTCTGCTTCTGCTCCCCAATGCAACGGAAAATTAATGCTGTGTGACAATAAACCACTCCCCCCTCCCACCTCCACCCCCACTCATAATGGACTGGGATTGGCCCTGGACTCTCGCGATACGTGGGAAAGCTTTTAGAGCTGGATCTCTTGTGGCAGAGAAGTGCGTTTTCGGTGATTCTGTGACTCAGAGAAGCAGAGATTTCCATGAATTTCTACGGCTGTGTGGCAGTGCAACATTTCTGCCACCGAAAAAGTTATTTAGATAAATACCAGGCGTACTGGAATCTGGCCCAAACCGAACCGAACCGAACCGAACCGCACGCTGGCTGTTCACCTTGTACGCAAATGAACGGACTTGAACCGACTCTGTCGGACCTGTCGAGTGGCCGCGCAGGTCTCGGGGCAACACCAGGTGGCTGTCTCCTGCAGAACCGAGAACAGGCCTCATCCTTGGATGGGAGTGGAGTGCAGACAGAGGTGGAAACAGAGTTGGAGCTGGAGCTAGAGCTGGAGATCTAACACTCAACGATCTGTTCGCCCTTGACCACACGATTCGTTCGATGGCGATTCATTTGATTTCGGCTCGTTTCGGACTCCGTTTGGTTCTACCTCGTCGTTTCGTTGAGTTTTCGAATGGTCTGTTCGTAGAGCGCGAGTGTCGCGCATTTGATCTGATCTGATTGGGATGACCTTGATACGTACGCTGAAATGAGCGCGCCAGCGCGCCAGTCACGTAGGTATCTGTATCTGCATCTGTATCTGTATCTGTATCTCGAGCGGAGCCAGTTTCTGGATATCAGCGAATGTACACACCACACGAGTATCTGCATCTATCTCTGCATCTCAGCATCTCTGTGTCTCTCTGTCTATCTCTCTGCCGCCTGCGACTCGAGCCGTTTGCTGCGGTGGGGTTTTTCTTTATTAGCCAAACCGCTGCGGAACGCGAAACTCTAGATTCGGATTGGCACTACGTAAGTAGTGGATGCTGCTGTGGCTGTGGCTGTGGCTGCTGCTGCGGTTGGCTTCCCAGTGGCTGTAGGGCCGTGTGGTCGGAGATAGAAAGCGCCATCTCTGGGCCCCCCCTGGACCCCTCCCTCGAGTACCAGAGACGGGGCCAAATGCTGCGGAATGCAGTTGCACTTGATGTTTGGGTTATGAAACGGGGAGCACCTTTTGGCGATTGCCGATTGCCGATTGCCGACTGCCGATTGTTGTGCAAATTCGTGTTCGTGTTTTTTTTTTTTTTTAAACGGTATCTGTCGAACGACCTTCGCCACGAGAAAGTGCCGAAAAGTGTGTCGCTGCTGAGGCCCATACAATGGCGGTCCATTACCGCTATTCAACACCTATTACACACACACGCACACACACACACACACGCACAGCTAATGCCAATGCAAAATGCTAATTGGCTCCAACCGGGCCAAACGCCGAATGGGAATTCCTTTCCAAAAATTAATTCATTGTCATTCGCTGGAGCCAGAAAATGCTCCCCCCGCCCCCCCATCCGTGCAGCAGCATTCCGGGCTTTTTCCGGGCACACTTTAAATTTCCTAAGCAGACAGGACCACGCCCTGCGCCTGCGCCTCTCGGAGATGAGCCATCCGAAAATCTGCTTAAATCGAAGGGAGTTGCAAGAGTCCTGCCTGTTGCTCCACGTTCGACTCCTCTAAGGAGGCCTCGCTTGGAGAGCCGCTCGTTCGGGAAAGTTTCGCCTTGGAGACTTCTATGCAAAGGAGAACGCGTTTGGGGGTTGTGGCTCTGCAGCTCTGCAGCTGCACTCAGGCTATGTGGAACATGAAATAATAATTGCATCTTTTGTGCTGTGGCGATGGGATAGGCGGGGGGGTGGAGGGGGATGACATGATGCATGAAATTACAAAAATGCCCGGCTCGAAGAATTTTTGAATCCATTTCAGGGGCTCCTCCATTCAGTGTGTGGGGGCGGGGGCTGCTGCATCAGAAGAATGCTGTGAATGCGAGCAGCCAACCATTTTAACGATCTGTTATGATGCAGTGTTCTGTGTGCTCTGTGGGCTCTGTGCGCTCTCTGGCAGTGGCTGCAGCTGCAGCTGCACAAATTGAACATTTTCAATTTGCAGTTAATGAAACGGGGAGCCGACGAGCGATCGCATGCTCCAAACGTTCCTCCTCCTCTCTGTCCAAAGTTCGCTGACATGCGCTGTGGGCACTGTGCCGCTCTGTTCTGCTCTTAATGCTTTGTGTGTTTGTCAAATGGATGCCTGCCCGGCGATCCCCGGGGCCCGGGGAACAAGAAACCGTTGAAGCCGCTGCGGCTGGGGCTGGGGCAAATGCGGGATCTGTGTCTCCGTAATTGAGGCGTAGGATAAGATCTGGGTGCATCATCCATGTACATCTGTTCGAGCAGGTCCAGGGCGTGGTTCACCCCTAGCGCAGCCTCTTCTGCTCCGATATTCCATTCCGTTCCATGCGTGTGACGCGACGTGACGCTCACTTCCGGTCCGATCCGATCAGGAACAGGTACTGCCCAGACCCAAGTCGAAAATACACATAGAATCGGAATGCGACGAGTGCGCTGTGTACTGCCTCTTTCCGTATGCAAATCTCTCATTCCCCTCTGCCATCCCCCCTTTGTGGCGCTCGGAAAACTCGTTGCTTTCCGTAGCTGCTGCTGCTGCGCTGCTCTGCGCTGGAGATGGATGCATGCCGCAGCTTTGATTGATTGCTGGCTCATGACTGACGCGCTACATGTCTGGCTTTCCACATGGGCGTGTCCCCCCCAGCGAAAGAAGACAAGCCCCAAAGCGTGGGGCGAGAGGAATCCGTGGGGGGGTTGGGGGAACAGAGCAGAGTGCTTTCCATTTTACTGCCGCACTGAAAATGTGGAATGTGTGCATACGAAATCTCTTTCTCTTTTCACTGGGCTCTCGTTAGAGCCGAGCGTAAAATAAGACCCGAACGAGGGTTAGCGGACCACCATGCATAGCTGGATCCAGTCTGCTCTCCTCTCCTCTCTTCCCTGCCGATACCCGCATTCTTCGATACTCGTGTGGTTTTTTGTGTCGCCGCTAATTGCCATTGAACCCTCTTGACTTTTGTTTGACTCAAGTTCACGTTGATGGAATGTAATAAAAAGAGCTCGCTCGGTACAAGCCACAGCCACAGCCACAGAATCTTTGCAAGAGCGGTTCGGTGTCCAAAAGGTGGAAAGTCGCGGCGTGCACGGGTCGTGCCTCGTCCGTCGTTCGGCTACATTTTGGCCCACTTCGTGACGTTACAGTGGAGCGAAGGCCGACGACTACAGCAGACCAGAACAATTGTCGGATTGTGCAATCACACATACACACACACACACAAACAGCAGCAAAAGAAGGGAGCAAGTGCATAACGAGTTTTCCTTTTCGTTTTCGTTGGTGTTCGTAAATGCCTGTTGATCACAGACCACGGCCTGCAGGCACCCTGTAGGCTCTGAACCGCTTGCCACCCTTGCCTCTCCTTGGGCGGCGGGGCTCCGATTACAAATCGCTGGGAAGCACTTAACCCAGGATCCCATTTCACTGATAAGCCACTTCCAGGCGATTCCCAAGGACACAATCTGCTCCTTACCCAAGTACTCCCCTCCCTCCTCCTCCGAATCCTCTCAAGGAGCCTGAAATTTGATCGTAGTGGTGCGTCAAGTGGACTCGGACTCTCTCACTCGCTCGGATCGGACGAGTGGCATTCTCTTCAGAAGGAACGGAACGGTAGGGAACGGTATGGAACGTCATGGAATGGATTGCCTTGTGTGACCCACAAAAAAGGCACTGGTAGTGCCTTGGATCCATAGATCAAATCGCAACAACTGGAAATTCCAGATCGTAAAACAATGGAATGTGCTTGCCGACGCCTTGGCCGCCGAGTGCGAGAATTCTCGTCGGCCTCTTCGTGCCGGGCCGTTCATCGGAAGATGGCCCGAACGTTATACAATTTTGCTTATTACAGCAGACCATGTGCTAGTCTGTGTTATCGTTCATCGGCCCCCGCTCCGGACGGTAGCACGGACGGGGAAGGGGGATAGGGGATAGGGTAAAGGGCGGGCGTACTTGGGTCCAGCGCGGAATGTCCGACGCTTCTTTCACGACGTATTGTGTGGCCACTTTAAATATAATGACGCACGGGGCCAGCCAGGGAGCCAGTGGGAGGGGGTGGACTACAGGGGGGGGGAAGAGGCATGGTCCAAGGTTGCGGCCACAACCAAAGAAACGAATGACACGCAACAGTTCATTTTTTGGGGTTTTTAATTAACAAATTTTTGCACTTCCACTAATTGAAACGCACTGTCCGCGTCGCACATCTCCACCTCAGCTTCGTCTGTCCTCTGCGTCCCTCTTCCCCATTACAGACGCCAGATTTGCAGAAGTTTGGGGGCCAGCAGCTCGGATCCTTCTTGGAGTGTTCTTTTCAAGTGTTTTTGTTGATGGTCGAGCAATCAAGCACCGAAATGAATCCACAATCGCACTCGTGAATGTGTCATAGATAATTATAATCATTCAAACACACACACACACACACACACACACACATGCACACACAGTACATGTGCCTGTGCATGTGCCTGTGTCGTTGTGGGTGGATCACTCGCCTCGCCTCGCCTCGCCTCGTGTGAATCACCTGCGGACGCACTGCGCAGATACAGATACAAAAAAGGCCAGCCCCAGCTCCTCACGGGGAGGGGTCGCATAATTGGGGTCAGTTCAGCAGCTCATGAAATATGAATGACTCGATGAAAGCGGCGCATCCATGTGAGGGTGGTGGGGGCAACGAGGATGGCGATAAGACAAGGCCCAGCTTCGGATCTTCGCACCTGTCGGGGTCCCAGGCACCGCAACGCACCTCCCCCTTTGGCCCAGAAACACAGGCTGCAACATTCCCACGTGGCACAGTGCCGGAAGGAAGCCAAGAAAAAGTCGTAGAGGCAGGGGGAAGGCGGAAGGCGGAAGGCGGCAGGGTTCGTGGCCAACGAAATAAATGGGTCAAGGCTGTGCCCCACCATCCCCACTCTCCCCCGCCCCCTCGATATACTTTTTGGACTTTCATCGTCCTTGAACAATCCGAAGAGTATTTATTTGGCATATTTCTTGGCAAACGCGAGTTCCTAATACAAATCGACTGCGATTTATATTTAAATGCTCACACGATTTATTTTTATTCGTTGCGCTCACGACACACACCTACACACGGACACACACACACACACACACATGCAGGAGTGTTAATTAATAGAATGTTTATTGGTATTTATTATTTAGTGAGAGTTTAACAGTAGTTCTCGGGGGGTTTTTTCAATGATAACTAATGGCTTTTGCTGCGACTGAGCCATGAGAGTCCTCTCTCGGCCGTTCGAGGGCTCTCTGTGACGACCGCTCTCGTGATCCGCTCTCTGCTCTCTCCGAGAGACGGACAGATACAGATACAGACACTCTCGGACAGGTCAGGCAGGACACCAGGGTCTTGTAGGATCAGGCGCCAGGAAAAGACACCCCACCGAAGGGGGGGGGGACACATCTCTCTATTCGAAATATTCCCCATTGACACCCAATTTCTGTTTGTATCTTTCCAGCCAAAAACCTTAGGAAGTGCTGATAGGATGGCCACACGAACGTGTTCCATTGAGCATTCGACTGACTGATCATTCGACACCCCCCCACACCCCCTCCTCGGCAGGGCACAAGGACGATGCGCCACAGCATAGCCGCTCAATCGAGAACGCATCCCCGTGCAATGGAAAACGAAAGCAATTCGAGGGTTGTGCCCCAAGGAGCCGCCAACTAGACGGGAAACTCGGAAGGAAGCCAAGTGGGAGCCCACACACACACCCACACCCACACTCCCCACACTCTCACACACACTCTCCCCCCTCGCACCGCTCCAGCCACAGCCATCAAAATGAACTCCGTCATATCTGCATTTAAGGGCAAGAAGAACAGTGCGGCAGGCGGCAACGCGCCGGCTGCAACGAACGGCGTCGGGGCGCCTCCGGGCGACGCAAAACAGAGCCACAACGGCGGCCTGGTGGGCGTCGGCATCAGCATAGCCAGTGTCGGCGGAGGAGTGGCCAAGAAGAAAGCGGTGGCCCAGAGCAGCGGCTACCAGTACCTGCGGCACATCCGCGAGATTGAGACTGCCAACAAGCTGCTCTCCCCCGCGGTGGGAGTGGCGGAGGACGCCTCCGGCGCCGACGTGGTGGACCACTGCCTGCCCGCCACCGTGCGCCTGTCCAGCGCCGAGTCTTTCTCCGACTTCAATATGAACGGAAAGGATGTCGCCCCCGCCAGCGCCCCCGCGCCCGGAGACAATGCAAACCTCGAGACTAGCGACTCCTGGGTGGCGCCCCACCCCCCAGCCGCGGGGACGACGGACGACGAGGACATCTCGGAGCACTCGGCGGCCGCCTGCAACAGCACCAGCAGCTCCAGCGAGCACAGCAACAGCACCGTGGTGCACAGTCCAACGGTGGCGGAGGGCACCAGTAGCAGCACCAGTAGCAGCGCCAGCACCAGCACTAGCACCTCGGCGAGCCACCCCAGTCCCAGCCTGAGTCTGAACAGCGCCTCGTCCGCCAACTGCGGGATCAGCAGCCCCCCGCGCAGCCTCAGTCACTCCTCGATGGCCATCGGCTGCGAGCCGCACTCGACGTCCACGACCACGCTCTCCTCGTTGGGGTCCCAGTCCCACTCCCAGTCGCAGTCCCAGTCGAATGTCTGCAGCGAGAACGGATCCTCGCAGACGCCGCCGTTCACCTCGCCCGTGGCGTCGCCGCGCCACGCCCAGGACATCCGCGACGGTGGTGCTGCGGCGGCGGTGGGGAATGGAAACTATATACCCGCCTTCTTAATGGCCGCCCCGGTCACATTGCCCCTCAGCGGCGGCCACATGTCCACCTCGGCCGTGCCGGCTGTCAGCTCGGCGGCCAGCACGCCCAAGCACACGCGCTACCCGAAGCCGCGCCTCAGCCTGAGCCGCGGGTTCAACCACTCGATGCCCTCGGTCCACGGACGACCCAATCTCAGCGTGGCCCTGGGCGACGGGCTCGGCGGCGGACTGGCCGCCAGCGCCGGCAGCGGCGCCAACGGGCCCCCCAAACGCATCTCCACACACCAAAGAAACTTGAGCTTGGATTTCAGGTGAGTCCCCGAACGTGCCCCCCGCCCCTCCCTAGTCCTAGTCCATTCTCTGCTGTGGCATTGAGCAGCGGAAGAGTGCAACGACTCCGCTTAGGCCCATCGGAGCCTTGTGGTGTGTGGCTTTTGCGGAAAGGCGACACGCAAGTCCAGCCGGTCCCCGAAATGGGTGTCAGGGTGTGCCTGTGCCCCAGCCCGAGCCTTCTGCGTACTGAATGGCGCCAAAACACTTGGCGTCACTTGGCGTGCCCCATGTGCATGTAGTCAGGCGCCAAGTCCCCCAGTGGCCCCCCCACCCCCCTGTTCTGCTTTGGCCGACACGCAGGCGCGTCGGTTGGACCCACCAATAGATGGGCCTTCTGTTCGGATCCTGCTGTCCGTCACGTACGGACGTCGAGTGCGTCCGTCGTGGGTTCTATGTGGGTTCTGGCATCGGAATTCGAAATTCCAGAGGCTGCAGCAACAAACACAACAAATTTGAATATTCATTGATGCATTTTGGCGATGGCGATGTCGATGGCGCTGTCGCTGGCGATGGAATGTTTCGAGAGCATGCAAAACGTGCACTTGCCTCCGGCATCGGGTAACGAGTGGGTGGCTGGTGGCATGGGTGGGTGGGGTCGGGTTGGGGACCCAACACCCAGCGAGATGTGGGCCAAGCTCTTTGTCATTATTTTCCATCGTAAATATGCAGTAAATCAGTAAGCAATAAGTCAGCAGCTTATGGGTGCGGTGCTGAGGGGGGAGGGGAGGGGGACATTAAATATGCAACAGTGCAACAGCCGTGTATGCCGCACACTCTTAAGCTCTGGCATGCCACCTGTCGTCTCCCAAGACGCAGTCGTTTGTTGGTTTCTTGAAGAGCCGAGCTCTGCCTCGTGCCTCGTGCCCCTGCCCCATCTCTCCCACCCTTTCCCTCTCTCTCTTTGTTAATCAACTTAATTGAATCTAAGATCTGAGCAGGGGCAGAGGCAGGGGCAGGGGCGGGGGCTGGGCTTGCCCACCACCCAAGCACCTGATCGGAGGGAGGCCTCTGTGCGTCTCTGGCCTTTGGCCCTCCGAAATGGCATCGCATTTGGCTAATTGACACGCGCTGCTGTGGCAGCTGCCCGAAATGTGTAATATTCTCAGGCATGACCCAAGAACCGAGCAGACCCGCCACCCCCTCTCCGCCCCACAAGCTTGGAGTTGAACCCTCGCCACCCTTCGCACTATTTACATGCCGTCTCTGTCTCTGTTTCTGTTTCTGTCTTTAATAGCGCCACGAAATGATTTCATTATGCTCGTGCATACCTATGTTTATGTACTGGCACGTGTATTGGTGTACGTACGTGTCTGTGTGACTGTGTGTCTCTGTATCTGTGTATCTGTGTGTGGGGTACCTGCAGATGACGTGCCACACCCTGGTTTTTGCTGGGTGCGTGCGCCGCCGCCACCGGCGAACAGCCAGCCCTGTCCCACACTGTCGCACCTTGTCATAGGTAGCAAAAAGCACCCGCACCCGCACCACCACCCTCTCTCCTGCTCCTGCTCTCTCTCTCTCTCTCTCTCTCTCCCCCCCCCACTCTCCCACTCTTTCTTGTTGCCTCGTCCTGTGTGCAGCTTTTCCTGCGTTAATGTTTAATTTCGTTAGTTGTTTCTTCGCTCTAAAGGACCTGCACCACGCACCCCCCCACCCCCCACACCCCACACCCCACACCCACGGATGGATTGCGGACTTCCTGTATTTTAAGTTCAAAGGCATTTCATGTGGTAGCCCATCCATTGAGGAGAGGGAAGAACTACTCAAATCAAATGCCAAATGGGGTAGTGCCTAGTATTTGCCAAGAAGCGTGCCCCCCCCGCCCACCGATAACTCCGGCAATCTGGAGCCCCGCTCCGATGGCTGACTGCACCATTGACGACACCGGAGGCAAACAAGTGCGAGTGTGCCACTGATGAATGGCCAACCTCTCGACTTGGTCAACAAACTTTGCGGGCGATTCGTTCTCCGAATGGCCACAGAAGCGCCGCGGCTGACGCGAGTCGTTGAACCGCCGCTGTGTGCAGGGGTCAGAGGTGAGACGTGCATTTGGCATCGACTGGAAATAGAATGTCACCTGATGATCGTCTGCATATTACCTGCTAGAATGCTACCACCCGTCCCCTTTGGTACCCCCTTCGGACTGGGTTCGTTTTCAGGTGCAATTACGTAAAAGCCGATACGTGATTTGCGGTCGGAGTGACGGACACAATAAGCCGGCAATGGCAATCAACACCCAAGTGGCAAGCAGGCAGGCAGGCCCCTGGTGGGTGGGTTGATGGTGTGGGGGAGAGGGACAGGGACAGGGGGCGAAAGATCTCTAAATGAATGCAAATGCGTAAATAATTGACACAACGAGACAACTATTGCGGCTTGGAATGCATGAAATTTGCAAACAACAAAACCAACAAACAGCCGCCCCTCCCCAAACCCCCCACCAACCCCCTCCCAATGGTGCACATTGCCAGACACGACGTCAGCGACGTGGAGTAGCCATCTCCGGCAGACGACAAGCGACGACCCGCATGCGAAATGAGATGTCATCGATCCACTATCTGGACGGGGCAACTATCGATGTATCGATCTATCGGAAACGATACCGAATTGCGGCTGCTGCACCTGTAGGGCAAGCAAGGCCCAACTCCCCTCTGAAGGTCGTGTCCCCATATGCCCTGGCCAGGCCTGTGGGGAACTGGTTATCAAACTTTCCCGCTTATCGTGGCCGCTGATAACCGTCCACGTAACACATTGAAGGAGATAGCGCTGATAAACACACAAAACTCTGCTGGCTGCGCGCCAGTGACTTGTGAGTCGGCCCTCGCAGGGCTTTCGCAAAAGGCCCCGAAAGCTGCCCGAATCAGCTGTGATGAAAGCTCTTTCGGTGCTTGCAAGCGTATGCGGGCTTCACGCGCGTTGTTTTCACTTGTTCTCTCGGCTCGGAGCTTCGCTCTCCTCTCGCGCTGGCTTTTTATTGTGTTGTCGTCGTGCTGTGTGGGTGTATGGGTGTGTGGGTGTGTGGGTGTGCGGGTGCTTGTAGCGAGTGTGTAGTCCATGTGTCTGTGTTTCTTTATGTTTCACGCGCATTGTTCTCTACAGCACTCTGCAGTGTTCGTGTGTTTGTGTGGAATTCCCGTAAGCATGTGAATGTTGCTAATTTAATTTAAAGGGCGTCTGTGTATATGCAGCATTCTGTCTATCTATCTATCTATCTAGCTGTCCCTATCCAGCTGTAAATAGTTTCGACCGATATGATAACCTAACTGCGACGCAGAAGTAAGCTCTACTTGTTAGTGTGTGTGTGTGTGTGTCCGAAACATACTGTGTGCTGGGGTGGGGAGGGTTGAACGTAAAGAAATCTCGGCAACAGATACGCGAGTACATTGATTTTTTCCATACACTAACTAACTTAAGTTCCGTGCCGTGCACTCTGCACTCTGTTTCGTTTATTTTCGCAGATCCATGGGCATACGGCTGCCGCCCGTCTCTCAGGTGACCAATACACGCATCAATCACACCCAGCATCATCGGAATCGCAGCCTCGACAGTGCCCTGCAACGCATACCAGAGGTGAGTGTTTGTGCCCTCCCTGCCCCCGCCTCTGCCATTCCAGCCCAAACATTCCACAGCAGATGTCAGCGAGTAACCTTGTTGATGGCGCCCGTATCTCCCATACACTCATACAGCCTGCCGCCTTCCGCCTGCCGCTACATGCATGTGCACTTGCCGAAAGTAGCAAAAACCTGGAAAGTTTCTAAGTCTCTATCTAAGCACATGTGTGTGTGTGTGTGTGTGTGTTCTGGTGTGTGTTTGTATGGGCGATGCGCTGTGTGTTTATTTATATTTTTATCGTTGCCGCTGGCTGGCATTGTTATTCACATTTTGCACTCACTTTTGTGCTTAATATTTATGTACTTTTCTGGTTATCAAGACCAGCCACAAAGCAAAGCAGTGCCAGTGCCAGTGCCAGTACCCGTCCCCGTTCTTCTTCTTCCACTAAACTGTAAATAAGGGGAAGTGGAAGGGGGGGGGGCGAAAGCTGCAGCTGCAGCTGGAGCTGGAGTGGGCCTATTTGGGCCTTCATTATTATATATATTCTATACATTCCACATTCGCTATCCAGGTCGAGGTGTCATCCCCCAATGCCGATACCGAGAACACATTCTGCTCTCCCTCGTCCATACTAGGGACGAATATGTGCTCGAAGATTGCCACCACAGCGGCAAGTGTGACGGCAGCCCTCTCCCCGCCAACGACACCCACGGCAGCCATCACCATCACGTCCGTGGCGTCTCTGGCACCGACAACCCTAACGCCGAAGGTGCAACATCAGGTACAGCAGAGCCAGAAGCATCAGCCATCGATCTGTTTGCATGCCCCCTGCAGGGGAGGAGTGCCCAGTGCCGTGGGTAAGTAAGCGCCGGGCAGCTGCTGCCAGTTCTCTAACGATCGGCCCGATCTAACCCGAAACCTATTTCCTCTTCCTTTCAGTGGAGGCCAGTCCGACGTTGCGCGTGAGGCCCAAGTCCAGCGAGTCGGTGGCGGAGTCTGTGGGGCCGGAGCTGGTCGGCGCCATTGGCAGTGGCAACAGCAGCAACAACAGCTGCAGCAGCGCCGGCAGCAGCAAGAAACGAGAGGATCTCACCAGCCTAGGATCAGACGACTCTGGTAAATATTGTAGACGTCAAATCGAGAACAGACATGGCCCTGACTTTTCCGTAATCCTGTGGGCAGTCGCTCCTCATTAACACTCTTACCTCCTCTTGATCGTAGGCATCATCTGTGGCTCGGAGTCAGACCAACTGTCTTTGAATCGCATTTGTCACTCCCATGAATCGCTGGATTCGGGCGAAATGGACGCGGAAGCAGACGCTGACGCAGACGCCGAGGAGGAGTGCATAGATATGATGGAGACGACATCCATAGACGAGGAGTACAACATAATGCAGTCGGATCATCGCTGCTTCTATCCGCCCCACGCAGTCGCCAACGAGCTGGACTGTCGCACTCTGCGTCCGTCGCGCAAGCAGAGGCGCCAGCAGCAGCTCGCCCTGGAGCAAGCCAAACAGATGTCGGAGCCTCAGGAGCGTGGCGTGGACGTTGGCGTCGACGACCGCACCCGGTATCGCGTCATGAACATGTCCCGGGCGGCCATCAACATTGAGCTGGGAACGGCGCCCAATGAAATCGAGCCAGTGGACGACGACGACCTAAATATGGACCCAGATCGGGATGTTACGAATGCGGATGCATCGACACTGACGTCAACTACCGCCACGCCTCTGCCACCGCCCCTGCCCACGCTCACGGCCACGGCCACGTCCACATCGAGCGCTACGGCAACAACGCCGGCCACGCCATCGGCGACACCCACACCTACAGCCACCCCCACACCCACTGAGAGCACCAAGAACGACCAGGTGCTGTTCAAGAACTTCTTCGGAGCCACCAAGAACGCCATCTTCCGCACGGCCCAGAGCATCATAGAGAACCACGAGAAGAAGAACGCGGCCAAGCAGAAGGTGGGCGAACAGCAGCCGGACCACACGGCGCCGACGGCCCTGCTGAATGCCTCGAGTGGGGGCGCCACAGCCCCGCACGAGCAGGTTAGGTCCCCGACGGACATTTCCAAAAAGAAGGAGTTCTTCAGCCTGCTCACGTCCAACTCCAGCAAGAAGGCAGCAGCCGCTGCTGCGGCGGCTGCGGCCAGCTCAGCGGCCAGTACGCCGGTCGCCACGCCCACGGAATCGTCCGTTGCAGCAGGAGACTCCAAGTTGCACCTCCCGTCGGACACATCGACCGACACGAAGGTGAAGGAGCGCACGCTCAACCTGCGGCTACCTGGAGCAGAAGCTGACGGCGCCACCGAAGGCGCGCTGGCCAAGAGCTCCTCCATCAACTCGCTGCACAAGCTGAAGGTGCCCGTGCCCGGCGTGGTCAAGTACTTCATAAGCGAGCGAGCCCCCACCACGGACGTGCTGATGAAGCCCGAGAAGGGCCAGAGCGGACTGCTGCGCTTCTTCGAGTCGCCGGTCTTCAACATACACTTCGCCGTGCACTATCTCTTCTACTCGAAGGAGCCGGGCGTGCTCAGCTTCATTGGCAACAAGATCTTCAGCTTCCCGGACCAGGAGGTCGACCTGTACATCCCGCAGCTGATCGTCATGTACATACAAATGGACGAGCTGGCCGAGGTCCTGGACCCCTATCTGACCATTCGGTGCCGCAAGTCCGTGGACTTCTCGCTCAAGTGCGTGTGGCTGCTGGAGGCCTACAACTACCAGGTGGACTCGCTGAGCAACCCGCACAGCGGCACGCGCAAGTCCAAGCTGGCGCTCATGAAGGAAATTTTCTCGAAAAGGGAGCAGAAACAGGCGCTCAACGAGCTGAAGGCGGCCAACACAAGCGCGGTCGGCGGTGGCGGTGGCGGCGCTGAGGCGAGATCGATTGTGGCCTTCGCCAAGAAAACGCACTACCGCTCGCAGTCGGATGCCACAGTGCTGCTCACCGACTCACGATCCCCACACACCCTCAGTATGTCGCACCGCATCTATCAGCAGCTGCCGTTCACCACCCAAACGCTGCCCACGGCGCCCACCAAACTGTGCCTCGGGGACCTTACCTCTGGGCATGCCTTCGACAACGGCTGCACCTGCTTCGAGACGGTGCGGGGCCAGGTGAACGGCCTCCTGGGCCAGAGAACGCTCTGCAGCTGCGGCGCCCCAAAGACCGCGCCGCAGAAGGAGTTCATGAAGGCGCTGATGAACGTGGGCAAGAACCTCACCTCACTGCCCTCGAAGGCGGAGAAGACCTCGGCGTTGCGCATGTTCCTCAATTTAATCAACAAAAACCTGCCCGCCAGAGTGTGGCTGCCGCTCTACTCGGACATTCCGCACCATGTCGTTCGCATCACGGAGGAGAAGACGGCCGTGCTCAACTCGAAGGACAAGACCCCGTACATCATCTACGTGGAGGTGGTCGAGGTGCCCGACATCTACACCTCCCCCTTGATACCCAAAATGATGCCCTCGCTGCGGCACACCAAGAGCGAGGAGCACTTGGAGGGCTCCTGCCTGAACTCGCACCAGCACCTGAGCTGCAGCCGCACCTCCAGCTGCAGCAGCAGCCACCAGAGCTCAAGCTGCCGCCGAAAAAAGGCCGCCGATGCAGACGGCGGGGGCTGCGGCGACGGCGGCTCGCACAACTGCTGCGGCAACCCGCTCTCGCTGGGCGGCCTGCAGGTCCATGAGGACGATGTGTGGTCGCAGGAGGACGACGAGATTACGGCCCAGTACCTAAACATGCGCAAGATGAGCGAGCGGGATGCCGTTTCGCAGATGTCGCTGGACTCGTGCGATTCAAGGGACCAAGGTGAGTTCTCTGCCCGAAAACATTTTCCAGAGCGTGTCTACAGCCGCTTCACGGCCTCTTCTGCAGGACCACCCATTGTCTTCAACATCGGCGACGTGCGCTCGCGGCACTGCAACAATTTGAGCTGCGAGAACACGAAATCGTTCAGCAACGACCCAGAAGATCCCTCGGCAGCGGCCCTAAAGGTAAATACTTCTAAACGACACGCGATCTATTGGCCCCGAAACGTAATCCCTTTATTCCACGCAGGAACCCTGGCACGAGAAGGAGAAGCTCATTCGCGAGTCTTCGCCCTACGGGCACCTATCCAACTGGCGACTGCTCTCGGCCATTGTCAAATGTGGCGACGACTTGCGGCAGGAGCTCATGGCCACACAACTGTTGCAGGTACAATTTGGATTGCTCTTCCTTGCCACTCCCTGGCACTAGAGGGGGACGGCACGATCCTTCCCTTGGACCTATTGAAGGTCCATTGTGATGCCGCATGGGCATGTGCCCCTTCCCATTGCCCAAGCCGTGGCGAGCAACTTATTGCAGTTTAAATGCAGTCCCATCCGGGGGCATTTGGACAGTATTCCTGCTTGGATTTCGGAAAAGTCTGAAGTGTCCGTGAGCAAAGGGGCCCCCGAAGCCGAAGTCTGAGAGCTCTGGAGGCGCGTGTGCCACTGGGCCACTGGGCCTTCTTTACCATGTCCTCTATGCTCAATTTCCAATCGAGGATCAGGCCAAGATATTTGACAAGATGCCTCAACGGTCCTGCATTGTAGCATCTGCTCGATTAGGCCAGCTTTCCGGGAATCGACCCCCAAGTCCGTCAGTGCACCCGTGATGGCGGTCGGGAGGATGTTTTTAAAGGCGCCTTCTGTGCCGTTTCGGTGGATCTGTCCTTCCGATAGGCGTGTTGGGAGTCTAAGATTAGACTGGGCGAAATTCGGTATGAGAGAGAGATAGCATGACATTCACATATGTGCATCTCTCGCTCGCACTGCATGCCTTTCCCATAAGGCTGTCTCTTTTCTTTCGGTGTGTGGATTTGTGGACCCTGCACTTGGTCCGCCAGGAATGCTTCCGGATGGCCGTTGCATATATTTTCCGGACCAATTCTTACAGCCTTGTGGCTAGCTTTTTGCCTGGCTCTAACCATACGACCTTGTGTCTGTTTCTTGCAGATGTTTAAAATAATTTGGCAGGAGGAGCAAGTGGACCTGTGGGTGCGTCCGTACAAGATAGTCTGTCTGTCGAACGACAGCGGGCTCATTGAACCCATCCTGAACACCGTCTCCCTGCATCAAATCAAAAAGAACTCCAACAAGTCGCTGAGGGACTACTTCATCGACGAGTACGGCACACCGACGGGCGAAAGCTTTTGCCGGGCACAGAAGAACTTCGTTCAGAGCTGTGCTGCTTACTGTCTGATATCCTACTTGCTGCAAGTCAAGGACAGGTAAGATCGAAGCCCACACGCGCACCTTCGCTTGTACCGTCACTGACAGTCGTCGATCCATCCGTCCCCCATACAGGCATAATGGCAACATACTCTTCCATTCGGACGGACACATAATACACATCGACTTTGGCTTCATTCTGAGTATATCTCCAAAGAACTTGGGTAGGTACCTGGCGCACCGTGGATGGGCCGTGGATGGAGGTTTAATCAACTGTATTGGCTTTTTGCAGGCTTCGAACAGTCCCCGTTCAAGCTAACGCCTGAATTCGTTGAGGTCATGGGCGGCACCGGCTCGGAACATTGGCGCGAATTCAATCGACTCTTGCTCGTGGGCATGATGTCCGCCAGAAAGCACATGGATCGCATCATAAACTTTGTGGAAATCATGCGCAGCAGTAAGTTTTTATGCACAGAGCCCGCAAAAAGTTGTTCTACATGGAAACATTTCTTTGGTACAGATGCCCATTTGCCGTGCTTCAAGAATGGATGCTCCGGCACCGTACAGAATCTCCGCAAACGCTTTCATATGAATTTAACCGAGCCAGAAATGGAACGCAAGGTTGAACAGCTTGTCCAGGATTCGCTGAAGAGTCTGTCGACCAAACTCTACGATGGTTATCAGTACTACACGAATGGCATATTGTGAGAACGGTTTTTTATGAAGATCTAAACAGATTTCATAAGCAATAGACTATAAATGCCGAGCTGATACCCAAAACTATGGACTGACTTTTTGTAAAGAGAATATTGTATAAAACATACATCAGCGACAAACAAAAACAAAAAAGAATGAAATTGTACCAAACCCAAATCTGTTATCGTAGCTTAAATCGTTCGTTGTGTGCGTTTACATTGTTGAATTATCGTAATGTGTATGTTGTCTAGCTTCTAAGATCCAGTGTAAATGCGGATAAATTTTAGTTATAGTTTTAGTTTTAGCTTGTCTGAGTGAGAACGAGTGTTGATGTCGGATGTCGGTCTGTCTTTGCGGCCTTCAATCGAGCCGTTAATTGTAAATACAATATAAACATTTATTAGCCAGGCGTATGGCCTATCTACATATACAATAGTCCTACATACCTATACAGTAGTCCTGCTACGCTTATCTTCCATTCATCTTTCTCAAATTTTATACTCTGGCGCTTTTGTATTTCACGAACGTAACTTATAAAAGTATCCAATTCCAATCTTTAGCCATAAGTATATATATAATGCGTGTATGTATATGTATATGTAACACCAATGCCACTTTCTGCTTTAGCCTAAAAATTGTAATGCAGCAATATACTCCTTAAGGATAGCAACAACAACAACAAAATATCAATCAAATTTACATAATTTTAATAACGAATATACGCCCATACCATACCATACAATACAATACAATACAATACAATACCATGCAATACCATGCAATACCATGCAACACAATACATGCGAGTATATGGAATGTTCATGCAATTCGAACGCCTTCAAGTCTGTATCTGTATTTGTATTTGTATTTGTATTTGCCTATTTAGCCCATTATAAACAATAATTATAAATTCGAACGTAATAGTTTTCTAACTTAATATACTTTGAAATAAGAGCTACTACGGCGGTTAAGCAAACAGAAATCAAAGCATACGAATCAGTACTAAAACAAATAGCTAGGCACTGAAAGTGAACAATTTCGAGTTTGTATAAAAGGGGAGAAAAGGGAAACGGCAAGGGCAAGGGAAAGGGGAAGGGGAGCAACACACACACAGAGACACACGACTAACGAACCTTCGCCCAACTGTGTGTCCCAACAGATATACAACACGTATAGCTGCGCGCGAACATTAGCTACAAGTATTTAAAAATGTAAATGCATATTTCTACTAAAATTTATTAAGTAATGCGATTTAAATAAATGAGAATATTGATTATATACAACATTCATATATGTTACCTATCGTTATCGTTCTTGTTTTCGTGACGACATCTCGTTGCTATAGTAAACAAATAATTTGCCATCGAACAAGCTAGTTAGTGTCTTGGGGACCTTGAGAGAAAGTCAGATGGATCCTGCTAAGGTAATTGGGAAACTGTGAGTACGAGTATATCAAAGATTGTATTTCCCATAAGTTAATCATTGAATAAACACTCAAGCAAGGAGCAGGTGCGCATGGAGCACAAGTCGCGACGCAACTATCCAGAGGTGTGGCATCAGATCTCCGACAATGCCACCAATAGGTTCTACCATCAGAATGAGATTGACTCCCAGCTGAAGGGACAACTCAAGCTGCAAGGTACTTATGGTGCACTAGTTAGTGCTTTTTTTGGACAAGAGTACAAGAGCATAGTTTTGCAGAGCTCTGCCCTTTTGTTCATGACAATAAGGGCGAATCGCGCTTTGTGTCGCCGGAGATGTACAATAGCCTGCTCTCTAGATGCCGCTGTGGACGCTCCCGCCGGGGCCCACACATGGGCAAATGTCTGCAGAGAACAGTGAGTCCGGACTATGACTATGACGTGGCACAACCAAGTGCCAAGGATTTGGAAGGGAAAAAGGGGGAGCCGGCAGTGCCACGCACTTCCAACTGTAAGCTTAACCGAACAGCAACGTTAACTGTTAACGTCTTGTTTTGCTTGGCAGCTTCCATTGGGCTTTTGGGTATCCAGACGAGCTATCGGAAACTGGAGCAATCTATGCAGTACGTCTCGCCGACCTTCTCGATGCCAGGGCCGCGCATAACAGCAGTGCCGTATAACATTATTGTAATAGGCTAAGCTTTGTATTTGCCCAGAATGAATGAATCACCAGGCCGCTCTAAACTAGAACTGGATTTTCCCTCACCTCACTCTAGCGCATCGGGGAATTGGGGATTGTGGTAGATCTGCCTTAGGTTATCGCCGACCTGCGCCACACAAGCGTAGACTGACGGGGGTATTGACGATTGCCTCATAGAACTGGAATTACCAGAGACGGCAGTTTGGTAAACTCGTATTGTTGTCATTCCAAATGCAGCTTGTTGGACGGAAACGTTTTCAGTGTCGCCAGAGCAGCGGACGAGCTAAAAGCCTACGGGACTTTCAAGATGATCGGCTTTTGGATTCCCAAAACAATCGTACTACTAGTCTGTGCCACTCACTTGGGGGCTGGGCAGCTTATCTTTCAAACAACACCAAGCCCGTTGGGCCAGCAGTCATCGGGGACAACACCAGGCTCTGTTCCTGGCTCTGGGCCAAGCTGGGTACTGGTCAACAATGTACGGGTACCAGGCACTATCACACCTTTCGTCACACCTCCGCCTGTGACGCCACAATTCCTCGACTGCTTCGGCCGTTGCCCCACTACTCCCGAGTACAATCCCATTTGTGGCAGCAACATGCAGCTCTACTTAAATGAGCAGAAATTCAACTGCGCTCGATTCTGTGGTGCCGGTGAGTTTGCCAAATGTTTCCCATACTCGAATGTGTTTACGCAGTGCTCGCATCCCAATTATTCCTCAGATATTCAAATCGTGAGACGCGGAAGCTGTGAGGGTCTTTTTCAAATGACACGCGGCTGACATCAAAAGTGCTTACGGGCCACAAAAGCTTAGCGTATTAGATCAATCAAATAAATTAAAATTACAGATAAAATTTAAAAAATAATTAGAACTCTTAATTACGTGTTTTTGGCCAGATCGAGTTGGCATGCGGATGAGAAATAACGAAGGAAAGTACATATGTGTGTATGTATAACCGGTGAAAATATCCTTGATCCTTGACAAGGACTGCATCAAGGGCGTTCCCCCGATCCCAAGGAGGCGTGACACTCCCAGATGGGACGAGAAAAAGTGAATAAATAAAGCGATCTATTCGAAAATAGCGTCTAAAAAAAAGTATCCTTATGTTCCTTGAAGTCAATCTGGGCTCAAGGGATCCGGGACATTCTCCCGATTACGAGGAGACGTGGCATGCCCAGATCGGCCCACAGTTAACGGAGAAAACAACAAAACACCACTTAATTTGTATTTTATTTTGTTGTTGTTGTCAATTTGTGTCAATTGTTGTACAACAACAACCCTCGACTTGCGACTAAAATGGCCGGAAACGAGGAAATTTCATACCCGGCAACCAGGCGAACATATATCGGCAGAAGGGAACTTCTGCAGCTTAAATTTCTCGTTGCATACGTTTGGGGGCAAACAAAATCTCAGTTGCTTTCTAGCATTTTCTGTTGGCCTGGTACCTCGGTCTGAAATTTCCTCGTTTTCGTCGTTTGACGTCCGATTAAATTAGCATTTTTTCTTTGGCTATATCTCGGCTATTTATGGCCCGATCGGGGCGTGGCATGCCTTTTTGTGATCGGGAGAGTCCTGCCAACCGATTGGCATCAGAAAAAAGGACATCCGTGTCCTCACGATTTTCGCAAAAAATCATGATGGTTACATCATTAAATTTGCCAAAAATCGGCCTCGATTTCGAAGTCGAGATTTCGATGCCGTTCGACAGTTTTGGTCCTCGCGGTCCTGGGAGAGTTGGTCCTGCATCCATCTGGCCCTATTTGTCTGAGATATAGCCGTCTGAAGATTTGGATTCGCTTATCTGTAAAATACTGGTTTCTTCTGCACGCTCTATCTCGACTATTTGTGGGCCGATCGGGTCGCGGCATGTCTTTTTGTGATGGGGAGAGTCCTGCCAACCGATTGGCACCAGAAAGAAGGACATCCATGACCTCACGATTTTCGCAAAAAATCATGATGGTTACATCATTAAATTTGCCAAAAATCGGCCTCGATTTCGAAGTCGAGATTTCGAAGCCGTTCGACAGTTTTGGTCCTCGCGGTCCTGGGAGAGTTGGTCCTGCACCGATCTGGTCCTATTTGTCTGAGATATAGCCGTCTGAAGATTTGGATTTGCGTATCTGTAAAATACTGGTTTCTTCTGCACGCTATATCTCGACTATTTGTGGGCCGATCGGGTCGCGGCATGTCTTTTTGTGATGGGGAGAGTCCTGCCAACCGATTGGCACCAGAAAGAAGGACATCCATGTCCTCACGATTTTCGCAAAAAATCATGATGGTTACATCATTAAATTTGCCAAAAATCGGCCTCATTTTCGAGGTCGGGATTTTGATGCCAATCGACAGGATGGATCCCCACGATCCTGGGAAGGTAGGTCCTTCGCCGATCTGGCCCTGTTTAGCTGAGATATTCCGAAGATTGGGATTTGCATATTAATAAAATACTGGTTTCTTCTGCACGGCAGCCGATCGGGCTGTGGAATGTCTTTTCGTGATCGGGGGAACACCCCCAAAGGATTCCTTGTCAAGGATCAAGGATATTTTGCCCACTCATTCATACATACTTACTTTCCTCCGCCATTTCTTGTCTGTTCAGGGCGTGCCACACCTTTTTGTGACGAACGGAAGGATATTATCCTAGTCATACCTAACTGGGTTTCTCCTATATTTGTAGCCCGATCTGGGAGTGCCTTGGCTTCTGTGATCGTAGAAATACCCTTATCCGACTGAAATCGATTGCAAGTTCACAGTCATATGCCGATATGGCGGTATTTTCCCGCTATATACATATATTCAAATGTAAGCATGTCCTCAAATAATATGTAGAAAAACAATCGGTAATAAATAAATAGGATACGATTCGACCCCCCTAAAACGACGTCCTTGGGGAATCACCATGTGCCATGCTGATTGACAAGTGGGATCCTCCTCTCACTCCGTCCCTATATGCCAAGGAGACATACGTATCCTATGATTCCATCTAAGGATTCTAGAAATTTGTACAGATCTGTTGGGGAGAATCATTAAAGTCGATCTTACCAGCGGAACCTATCGAAGCTATCGACTCTGAAACAGTCTTGCTGTGCACATTTTGTTGTGAATATAAATTCATACGTACATTATGTACACAAGCTGATAACCTGGGGTTGGTACACCCCATTGTAGCCGATCTGGCCCCTAGAAAGCTCCAGCACGAGTCAGTTGGACTCAGATTTTCACAGCGAGCAGAGCACACATATGAAGATGCCAACATCTTATCAAATCGCATTGACCTTTGGTATGGAACTACTTGTTTGCGTTTTTTGTCTTCTAACATCCTCTTCTAACGCAGCTTTGGTACTTGGCCACGTCCAACTTCAAGGCGTGGCTCCTGCCCGGGTCATCCATCACAGTCAAGTGCATCGACGAGCGAACACCACTCGCCTAACGCCAGCACACACGCACCATGTGGCGTCGAATCACACACGGTTGGGCCAAGCCAGAAGATTGAATAATACATCGAGTGTATCGTCTCCAAGAAACGTTACCGTGCCTGTTGCTCACAACCAAACGTGGCAATTGCAAAATGACCAGCCTGGTTTTAGACAGCCCTCCCAGTCTCCTGTTCACAACCAAACATGGCTGTACACCAATCAGACCTACCTTAGCTCGGCACCTGGAACTATACCTTTATATCCTCCAGAGGGGCTTCCAAGCCAAGTGCCGACGTCATCTCTATGGGATGGATCAGCATCCGGTATCTTTCTAGCGGACAATAATACACTTGTTGGCAACTCATCGTCAACACAGGGTCCGAGTCCAGCGCTTGTGGCGAGCAACCACAATGGCTCTTTGGCCTTGGCATTATCCAGCAATTCTACGAGACTGCCACTTGCGCCAGGCAGCAAGCCGTATTCCTCTAGTCCATATGCAAATCTGGTTTACTAAACGAAGAGGATGATAGACGATGATAGGCTCCCCCAAATGAATAAAGCACTTGGACTTAAATTTTTTCAAAAAACATTTTATTTCGCTGCCATTGCGTTCCGGCGATCAGTTAATTGGACCATCGGTAAAAATATGTTGGTTGCTTTCCGGTATTCCAGAAGTGTTAAATAAAAATGTATGTGTGTAGAAATGATGAATTTTCCATAAATGGGCTTGGCTTAGACAGGGGTGCGGATATTTTTGGGACGGTGATCACGGCATCATCAAGTATATCAGCTTTGAACCATCGAATAAATTATATTGTGATTGCATAAGTTAACGCTGCGCCAAGATTTTTGGAATACCACCGATGATTTTCTAAGCCGAAGTGGAGCGGATCCCTCGCCGCCGTCCAGCGCTCCCACGCCGCAGTCAAAATCTCCCCCGCCGCAGTCAAGTGCTCCCTCGCCGCCGTCAGCAGCCACATCCCTCGCCGCCGTCAGCAACCACATCCCACGCCGCCGTCAATTCAATCCTCCCTCCAGTTCCCACGCCGCAGTCATGATCACAGCGCTTGGCGCATAGAGCCCTTGCCAAAATCCCACGCAGCAAAATGGTTATCCCACGCCGCAGTCTTGAAGTTCGGATCCATCCATCGCCGCCGTCATGTGTAAGTCGGGATCCCTCGCCGCCGTCGATTTGGAATCTCACCACGCCGTCGTTGTGCATATTGAATCCCACGCTGCAGTCAAATCCGAATTAAATGAAACTTGCAATCCACGAACAAAATCTAATTCTCCTCACGAAGGGTCCTCACAGAGCAAAGTTAAGCGTCAACATCACATTAGTTAAGCGACCAGTAGCGAAGCGATAAGTGAATGCCACATGCCACCGCCAACGGTGGTAATGGTAATGGCAATGGCGATGGCGTTGGCGATCACCGTGTCCAACTGCAGCAGTGTTGCGAAGAAGGGGCAAATGTTGGAGAACGGTCTGAAGTTGTCATCAGTATCATGTCATTAAAGCAGAGTCAACAAGCCATCCCAAGCCAGTGGTACGAGGAACGAATTGGTACGGAATTGTTATTGGTGCAGGTCGATGGAAGTGTTCAGGATAATGATATGTGGCCTGCATCTCAGATCTTGGACCAGTCAATATGCTGCTCCAGAAAGCGATCGCAGAAGCCACTGGCGATGTCGAATTGAACAGAAGAAGGCTCGGCTCCCAGAGATATCTCTTAGCCGGTTCTCGTAGCGAAAATGATCAATAGCGTGCACTCCCAGTCGTTTAGTGCGCCTCTTGAGTCCACACAGGATGCGATTAGATGATTCAAAGAGGCCAATGAAGGAATGCCTCGAAGGTAGTACAAGGTCGAAGGTATCAAAAGATTGAAAATGTATGTCCTCTGTATGCTGCTGCTCCCACTCCTCACTCCTCACTGCCATGGATCTTGCCATTGATCTATAAAAGTCGTGGTCCTCCCATTCAAATGTTCCCTGCGGCAACAACTGGTACGTCTAGGTGCGACATGGACCGCTCCAAAAGCCTTTGGAAGGATATCCGGTTGCACTCTTCAGGGGAAGTCTGCTACAGCCATGGCTTTTAAATTTACATGTCACAGTATAACATAACATCTTACATAAGAAATTTAAAACAAATTTAAAGGCAACAAAACATTAACATTATCTACGCAAGGTATTTAAAGAGAACATAATTTGATAGCTCTAACAACTGCATTACAAATGCAGTCTGGATCCTGGACGTGGGCCTAGAATAGTCTCGCTCTTTATGAGTCTTTAGGAGCTGCGCTAACATCGCCTACATACGCCTACGAGTAGCTGTAATGAGAGTTTGGAAGGAAACTAAAACAAAAGAAGAGTGTGTTTAAGTTGCCTGTACCGCGGGCGCGTGTCTCTTGGATTCCCTTTGAGACCAACGTGACGAGTGTGCAGGAAGGCGCGCGGCAATACAAGTGGAGTGGGCCAGAGCACAGCCGTGGATCTGGACCTAGCAGGGCATTATTTCTGACTCCTATGTGGATGTGGGAATGTGGGGTGTATAGTCGTTCGTTCCTGGAAAGCGTACATGCACCAACAACAAAACTGCTATTATACCTTTAGGGCCTTGGGACCCTGCCTGCCGCTGTCGCTGTACATCGCATTGGATTCCCTTTACGATCGCTGTGCTGAAGAAGTAAAGAATTTGACCAGGAGCTCAACGGGGAGCTCGACTGTAGTACCATCTCGCATTTGATTCCCTTTTGCGGTATGTTGGATCGTAGGGCCAGGAGTTAAGGGCTCAACTGGCGGAGCGTAGCGTAGTCATTGGCTAGCTAGCTCGGTCTTCGAACACTAATCGCATTTGATTCCCTTTTGCGATGAATATGGGTACCTCTAATTCTGGACTACCTACGGGAGGGAAAGTACAAATGAAGCGACAACCCGTTGAAAAGCGGTTTCATCTCTCCTGAGATCTGCAAATCTGCGTCAAGCTCTGACAGGCTGAACTGTGGCTGCTGCATTTCTTCCGTTTCGGATGCTTGAACACTAATCGCAATTGGTTCCCGTTTGCGATAAACGACTGGCTACGCGTCGTTAGCTGCTGATCTGTCCGGATGTTATTCAAATACAACGCTGAAAGTGACAATTAATTAGCGACGACGACGCTAGGATGCCCGTAGCGTACTTGCAGGCAGCAGCCCTGTAACAACGACAACACATCAGCTCACTTCTTCAGCGAATGCTGGTGATGGTGCGGTGTAGCGGCTCTCGGTCCAAACGCATTTGTTTCCCTTTAGCGTGGACCGAACGCACATCTCTGTGCGGTGCCAATTGCATTACGTGCTTAGGCTAGCACATCGCTCGCAGGACTGTCTCCAGCTCGCTCTCGACGCCCGTGCTCGTGCTCGTGCCATGGCCCGTGCCCGTGCTTTGGACAGCGGCAGGCGGTAGTCGGCAATCTTGAACTTGGTCTAGCCTCGTCTGAGCGTTGATTGATTCGGTCGGCGACAGGTTGTGTGCTAGGAAGCGCCTTGGTGCACCCTTGGTAGAGACACAAGCGGCCCATTTTGGGCAGACAACTTGGCTGTAATGTAGAAACGTTAAGTTTACATCTAATTTTAAAGTAGGCGCACGAGACAGGACAGCCTTGCTGCTTGCTTGCTTGCTTGTTTGCGTTTTGCTGCTATACTCGATGTTCTCTCGATGTATTCTGCTCGTTTTGTGCATTTAGCATTAGCATTAGGTGAAATGTAAGCAGTTGTCGTTGTGGCGATAGTATGCTTGCTGGCTTGCTTGCTTGAGACAAGCCTTAATGGATGGACTTGATGCATCGTTTTTGATTCCCTTTAACGATTAGCAGCAGCACAGGCACAGTCGCAGACACAAGACTTGCTAGGAGTGCCGTGTAGAACAAGAAACTGGAAACTGACCGGTCCCGGTCCCGGTCCCTCGCTAGCTTGTCCACTCCAAAGCTGTTGCCTTTCGTTTCGTTTCGTGTCGTTTCTACCTAGTCGATGCGCACAGGAACAATCAACTGTGAAACACCGCTGCAAGAAGTGCAAAGGAAATTTAAGACCGCTAAAAGTTCTCACTCTGTAGAGGGGTAGAGGGTCCTATGTGCCAAGGCAGCCGACCAGTCAAACAAGCCAAAACGTAGTTGCTTCTATAAAACACTCCATCCTTGCCTCACCTTCTCACAAGCTGAAAAACAGGTGCAAACGGTTCTATTTGAATTGAGAGACCTGACCTTGCTGTTCGAGTCGATAGGGAGCTTAGCTTCGAGTCAATGCAAATTCGACGTGTTGTATGGATGTTGGATTGCGGTCGATTAAGTGTTGGTGTTATTGCTTTCAAGTTGGCATTTGATTCCCATTGCCTCAAGAAATTTTGCTACATGTACACGGTAGGTAATCAGAACAGGCGAAAGTGCACGTGTAAGTTTAACTGTGTGATCGGATCGGATCATCCCACGACCATTGCGATTTTTTGATTGGTATCAGCACTGTAATGAATACATTAATATGAGGCGCTTTTCAGTGGGAAAGAAGAGAGGGGAACTTTAGTAAAAACGCTTATTCTCCTGGGCTCCCAACGCTGTGTGACGGGTGTAACGTGACTGTAACTGTGACTGTGACTGACAATCCAGTATACAGCCAGTATACATATGGCTCTGTCTGAAGCTGTCGATTGCTCCTTCTTGATTTCGATGGCAATTCCCAGGCTATGCTTTTTCGATTGTACAATACGAACGAGTAGTTGTAGACGTGGGCAGGCACGGTCTACTGCAACCACAACTCTACAAAAATAAAGAATGATTTTGTTCCACATTTCAAATGATTTACATTGGGCGGACGCTGGGCGGACCACCCCTCGCAGACTTGAACGAAATTTCCTTGCATCTAGTCCTTTTTCGGACAGTCCACACCACAATATGCGCAGGCACTGTTCAACTGCGGCATATTTCTACAAAATATGAAAGAAATGATTTCGATTGCAATGTCTTAGCTTTTGTAACTGTCTGGTGTCTGATGTCTGGAGTCTTGTGTCTGGATCTTCCACCACATCGGATAGGATAAGCGATTGCGAAACGACTCCTGTCCGTCCATACGACGAATTCTTCAGTTTCAGAATGATTCGGTATAGGATTATGTATCTATGCAAATCTACAAGAAGAACGAAATATCCGAGAACATGGGTGCCCATACCAATCGTAGAAGCGGAAGTAGAATCATGTCCGTGTCGTAAGGAGAGGGGGTCCGTTTTCCCAGCTACCTTTAGTTGTTGGTTGAGCTGTAGGATCTGGCTCATAAAAGCTACATGCATATGTGCTAAAAGAGAATTTGAAACAAAAGAAGCATTTTGTTCGAATTTCGTTCAAAGACCAGTTACGCTTTGTTATTTATCCCATCGACTGCTGCTGCCGGAGGTCGTAGACTTGTGACATTCAAGAAACCAATTCAAATTATCGCATCCTCGTCCCCACACGCTCCATGCACAGCACATGCACGCAGGTACCGCTCAACTGCGCCACATTGCTGCAAAAGTAAACGAAAAGTGATGCTTGTTCCCAGACAACAAACTGAGTTACGTGTGTGCGTGTGTGTGTGTGTGTTGTGTATGACAAAGATACTATTTCTTAGCTGGTTGGCAGCCGCTCTCCTCTCAAAGATGTCCAACATTTGGAGCGCGAATGGAGAAGAAACTTTGCTGGCACCAGACACTCACAGGAACAGTTCGACTGTGACGCATCGCTACAAATATTAAAATCGGCCTTACAATAGCCCAATGGTTAGGAAAGTACAGAGTATCGGGTACGACAGGCTAGGGTCCAAATCTTATCTGCAAAATCAGTGGGTAAAAGAGCAGAGATCCAACGATATTCACACTCTACTCCTAAGAGATTACGCAAACTCCCCAAGTGAAACAGGACGGGCTGAGCGTGCAGAGTACCACAGCATACACTAAGAATGTCAATATGGGCGACCGCTTGGCTAATACTGATGGCTGCAATTCAAGTGTTAATCACAAGAAAAATCCCATACGGCTTACATGCGAGAATTCAACTGAAGTCCCTGTCCCTCGAGATCCGAAGACGGCGATGTATTTTAGATGGCTGAAATTTAGAGATTGCGGCGTAGTTCCGATGCGTCGGGTTTGCAGGGTTCGAAGACAGTGGGAGTTTAGTTTCTGGATGATTGTTACTCCTTGGTGCTTTTTCGCTGTAAATCTGTTCAAAAAGCAATATTTTTCGTTCGCAGCTGATATACCAAATACCGTGTATCTGTGTGGATGGGTGGGTGGTGTGGTCAGCAACTGCGAAGCGTTCTATGTAGAAATGTCGTGGTAGCTGGTGAATTCAGCACCGACATGGGCACGAGAGCTTCAATCACACGTAAGCTGATGAGCTGGAGCTGCTGCCGCTCGCAATTCCGCCTTGTCCCCATTGTTCTTTGTCAGCTGCCTGTGGCATTGGCATGTCATGCAGGGGAGACTCGGTGGTGTTTGCTGCTGCTGCTCGCTGCTCCGGCGATCTGTGTAGAATCGGCCATCGGCTGGTTTACGGAACTCGCTGCCAAGCGTTGAGGTTGGGGAAGACACGGACAGACGTGAAGACTCACTCAGTAACTCAATAACAAACCATCGTCGATCGACGTAACTTCTTTATAAGCCATTTTAAGGCATTTCGTTTGGGTTTCGGTTTCAGCTTCAGGCTGTTGACGTTGTGGTTGCTTGTTCAAGTATTCCATTCCTCCTCATCGTTGCCATTAACGTATCGAGGAGCAGGAAACTGGAAAACAAAATCGATTATAGACAGAGGTTTATGACAAACGGGAGAGAGGAAAGGGGTTTGCTTATCGACAAATTTGAGTGAATAATAAAGGCAAGATTGATTTTAAAATTGATTGATTTGTAATACAATAGTTTTATTTTATAATTTATCAAATATCAGTTCTGTTTGCTTACTATATGTACATATATAAATTAAAGTTGTTGTTTCACGTGACCGCAGTATCATCGCGTTGTGTCTAACTTTGTTGTTTTCTCGCCACAGATTCAATATGAATCAGCTTTAACGTTGACTTTTCATTCTTAGAGATGACGTTGCTGGCCATTATTCAAAGCCACAATCGGACAAAAGAAATGGTGTACAGAAAATTCACAGGTATACGCACACAATAAAGGAAACGTTTGTGTGCGTGCGTGTGTATGTAGCGCGATTGCGTGTGTGAGTTTCTTTGTCTTTTTCATGTTTTTCGGAAAAATGTCGCCTATGAAGATGTTCGCGATATACTGCGATGTTCACGCCCCTCTCATTTTCGTTCGAAAGTATGAAGCTACATAACTTAAATAGGTGGTAATAGTATACTGATTTACAAACCGAGTGTGAATCCTGAACCAAAGCCTCTTTCTGGTGGCGTTCAGCATGGATTTCATGAAGCAGCGCCAATGACTCACACCATTTCAATGAATTGAAGGCCGTTTGCTCATCGTCTTCTCACACTCTTCCAATCCTTCATTATTTCATTACAATCTATAACAGCCTTGCACATGATTGCGACTGCAAATGAGAAATTGGGTTGTCGTAATAAAACTAATTTAACAAATGAACAAATATATCTAAAGCGACAGAGGAAAAAATATTTCGACAGATGAATCTCGAACATGGTGCTGTTCTCCTCTTCCATTTCATGTATACACACAAAACATGGCCGACTATATTTGTCTCTTTCTAACTGCTCACGGCAATGGCAGCGCAGTTGTGTTGGTTGTTGTTTTTCATGTAGCTGCTGCTACGGGTTCCGTTGTTGCTGGCGTTGTGGCTGGTGCTACTAAGGCTGCGCATAAAATTGTCGAGGCCACTTAGCTCACCCCTCCACAAATTATTTTCGATTTCGCGTCGTTCGCACTCTTCTGCTTCTGCCCCTATTTTGGCATTGGCTTCAGCTTCAGCGTCACTACCACAATGCGTTTTACCATGTGGCACAAACTTGGTTTGGATATCTAGCCAGCGACTAAATCTTTCCTGCTGCTTTCTACGCAGTTCGTGCTCGGCGTGGAGTAGAGCCGTAGACAAAATGGCGTTCACGCGCAGGTCGCTGCCAGCACCTCTTAATTTGCGACGCATTTGGACGCGTTTTAAACGAAAATTACGCACCCAATCTGTTAATGTTTTGGGATTTTCTGCAGCGTCGCATTCGTCGTAGTATGCAACCATTTTGATACTTTTTCAATTTGTATATTCAGGTGATTCAAGAAAAAAATTTGGTATACACACACACACACCTTTACTGCTGCCTAATTTTCGAACACTATGACGTATCGCTGCAACGCACACCAGATAACTGTAACGAGCGAGCTGCGCAGCAACCTTTTTATAGTTTTGCTCGCAGCAGCGAAACGTATTGCTACGCGACGTCGGCGTTGGTAGTACCTGGGATGGGATCCATTTTCCAGCAGGGCCTTTGGCTTGGAGGGTTAAAAGCGACTTTAAAGGAACCTATTTGCCGGTAGGAAGCACGGATATAAACCTGATTTTCCGTGAATCAGGGAAACGTCGGGAAATTAGTTTTAAAAATTGCACCCCAAAATTTCGCGAAGCAAGGCAGACATTTCTAAAATATCGGGGCTCTGGGTTGCATTTTGTAGGTATCGAAAAGCATACCTGGGCAGGGCTGCATCTACTTTTTAGCGATAGTAAGGTTTGGAGAACTATCGTTTTCAAAAGCCATGGCGCGGCTTGAATTGATGGACTCAACTCGTGTTAAACATCTTTTTCGAAAATATGCTAGAGCTAGCTGCGATCGGTGTAAAGTTGCATACATATATATTTGTATATTTGTATATCAGCAAAGATTCATTCGTACTCACGTAAAGATATATGCACGAGAACATGAGTACATGAGAGGCTGGATGGCAATTGGAGTCTCGAAACGAACGTTCACTACACTTTCGCACCTCGCTGGCGCCGGTCACGGAAAAAGAAATCTATACGAAAAACAAAGGCACGCCCGTGAATGTGAAAAATTAGCACACATTGCCAGTGGTGCGAGGGAACAGTTGGATATTTTGAAAAGTTTCAAATAAACAAAATTGCTTCACGCCCTCGCTTGATCGCATCACAGAAGAGGCACCCACCGACGCCCGTGTACAACAATATTCCTGCTGGCCTACAAGATCTTGCCAATAAGGGTCAGAAAAGATGGCAAGGGTATAATTAGTTGCGTGCTCTGATTAATTGCCGATTTATTCATTCGCAAGAATAAATAGATGACCCCACGAGGCGTACAGGGAGCGGCAGCAAGAACACCAAATTGCCGACAGCTGGAGCCAGCCTCTCGTTTGGTCGGTCGGTCAGTCGAAAGCGAACGTTTATTATTGTATTGGCCTGGCCGCAAGAGTATAAACAAATAACAACTGACAGAAGTGGGCCCGAGAAAAATGGAGAACGTGCGCTTCTCGATAATCGTAAGTGATGCGGACATGCCATGCCATGCCCATCCCTCCTCTCATCAGAAAAGTACTCATCTGTGCCTCAAACATCCGTTAATTGGTTTGTTTGTTTTGGCAGGAAAATGATCTTAAATGGAACTCGGAGAGCGATCAGGCGGCCGACCAGGACGCTGACCTGCTCTTCGACAAAAGCAGCGTTTCGAGTGAAGCCAACTTTGATGCGGACTTCAGCAAAGAGGCGCAGAAGATTTTCGACCGCCAGCAACAAACCCAGAACTTGTGGCGCCCGCAAGAAATTGAGCGTACATTGTGTGCAATGCCTAATGCCAAGCACGTCTTGGATATGGTAAAGACGGGATGCATTTTGGGTAAGTGGGAATACCCGTGGCACTACCAATCTTAGTCTGACGTATCGTCTTCCCCTCCCATCACATCCCAGAACTGATTCCCGACTCCAGCGAATGCAATCTGGCTCTGATTTGCTGTTCAATATACGGGAGTGTGGAGAACATTGTGTATCTGCTGAACCACTACAATGCCGACCCGAATGCCACCGACAACAGGGGTCGTACACCCCTGCACTTTGCCTGCTTTCGAGGAAATGCTCCGATTGCGAAGGTACTGCTCGATCGCGGCTCTGAGCCGAATCGATGGGATGCCAGAAAGGAGGTTACGCCGCTGCATTGCGCTGCCAGGTGAGTTGCGGGGAAAGAGGCGGGGAGGTCTAATGTGTGAGTATTTCTCATGCGTGGGCTGGTCTAACGACAAAAATATTCTCCATCCAAATGCATCCATGCATCCATGCATCCACTACGCACCAAATACTAACCTCCAGCCACAGAGTGTGTACACATGTGTGTAACTAAAATGTTCTCGCCTCAGTTCCAAGAGCGTTGAGTGCATTCTCCTGCTGCTGCGTCGAAAGGCGAACATCAACATCGGCATCGAGAAACTATCTGCCTTGCACTACGCCATAGATGGGAACGCCGTAGACTGCGTCGAAATTTTACTCAAGTATGGAGCGGATCCGAACACCCCTCAGGTGTACACCGAGACACCCCTGCATACGGCCAGTGCATTAGGTTTCACCAAGTGCGTTCAATTACTCCTCAGCCACCATGCCGATGTTCGCTCGCAGTTCTATGAAGGAAAAGTCACGGCGTTGCACTTGGGTAAGCAATCTGGCCCCCAGAGACATCTAAGAGGTATAATTGGATGGTGTATCCATTTTTTTAAATTACAGCTGCAGAGAACGACTACGTCGACTGCGCGCGACTTCTCTTGGAACACAAAGCAGATGTCGACTGCCGAAATGCCAGCCAACAAACGCCACTACATATAGCCTGTCTCACGCAGTCGATCGCTACTGTCCATCTGCTTATATCATACGGCGCGAATGTGAATGCCACTTACCGTGAGGGCAGAACGGCTCTGCACGCAGCCATCGTGAAGAAGTCCGATTGCCTGGACTGCTGCTACGCTTTATTGACCGCGGGTGCGGACGTTAATAAGGTGGGTAACGGTAACGAATATTCCCCGAATTCATCAATCCAATCCCTGACGATGACCCCACGACTTTGCAGGCTGACCATTTCGGATTCACCCCACTTCACGCTGCAGCGTTCAATGAGTACAGCAACTGTGTCTTTGCGTTGATTGGCAAGTGGCAATTTGAATTATCGTCTCCCAGAAATGGAACGATACATGGTACAAAAGTTGGGCGCAAACTGATGCAGTTTTCTTTCAACAGAACACGGAGCCGATGTGACCGCCCGCACCGATGGACGTGTCTCAGCGCTGTCGTTCATAGTGCGACGCACTCCCGAAATAATTCCGAAACTAATGAACAAATTTAGCTCTTCGATCAAGGCCTACGATCACGAGCTTGGCAATGTGGACTGCCAGATCTATCTTGACTTTCAGCCCTTGGTTCCCAGCCGATCGATGGAGCGCGGCGAGACGGAGATGCTGCTCGCGCTGATAGAGGTCGGGCAAAAGCGCATATTGATGCATCCACTCTGCGAGACGTTCCTTTTCCTCAAGTGGCGCCGCATCCGCAAGTTCTTTCTAATGAGTCTTGCCTATCACACCATCTTCGTGCTTCTGTTCACCCTGTACGTGATTGGAGTGTTTGCACGCTCCTGCAAGGACGGGGCGACTTGCATAGCTCCAGGCTATATTTCCACAAGTTGCTACTTTGTAATCGTACTAAATTGCATTCTGCTCGGAAAGGAGTTGTTTCAGATGGCGCACGGCCTCCACGGGTATGCGAAATACTGGGAAAACTGGCTTCAGTGGTCAATTGTCTTTGGAGTGTTTCTCTGTGTGGTACGTGTTCGTCGGAACTAACTCCCTAGCCAATCGTTTTACCCATCAACCGCCCACTTATCTCCTCCCCCCAGTCCCCGGAGATCGTGCGTACTGGTGACTTGAGGGCGGTCCCTATATGGCAGCACCATGTGGCCGCAGTGGTCATCCTCCTAGTCTGGCTGGAGCTGATGATGTTGGTTGGTCGCTTTCCCATATTTGGAATTTACGTTCAAATGTTTACCAAAGGTCTGTACTGTACCCAAAATATTTTCCTTTAAGCTGCACTATTGGAACTCATTAACTCATTTATATACTCACATTAGTGGCTGTCAACTTTGGGAAATTTATGTTGGCCTACATATGCCTGTTTGTGGCCTTCGGGCTAAGCTTCGCTGTGCTCTTCAATGATTACCCAGCCTTTGAGAACATAACATGGTCATTTCTGAAGACTATTACTATGATGTCCGGCGAGCTGGAGTTTGAAGACATTTTCTACGGGGACTACGCCGTAAAGTTCCCCGTCACCGCCCACATAATCTTCTTATCCTTTGTCCTGCTGGTCACTGTGATTCTAACCAATTTGATGGTGGGCTTGGCTGTCAGTGACATCCAAGGACTGCAAGTCAGTGCCTCACTGGACCGCCAGGTGAGACAGGCAGAACTTGTGTCGCGCTTAGAGAGTCTCTTCTTTTCGCGACTATTAAGGAATGCGCCTGCCCATCTGATCCAGCTTTGCAAGCGGAGTGCCTTGTTGAGCACCTCTCGCGACAAGCTGCAGTTCGCATTTCGACCCAACGATCCGCGTGACAACCAGTTACCCGAGAACATCAAGCTTAATATATACAAACTGGTGGCCGAAAGGCGTGACAGGAATCAGAGTCTCCGGCGTCGTCAGTTCGAAAGCAACTACAACATCTTCAGTCGCAGTCTGCAGCGCCAGCAGCAGTGCCCCCAGCCGCAGAGAGACGCGGCTGACACGACCCAGAATAAGCCGTCACAGCAGTTCTCCCATATGAACGAGCTGCTACGTCCTCGGTCTGCCACGAATGTCCCGCAGCAGCTTCGACAGGAGCACGAGGTGACGGTCAACCTGAAGAACCACACGAATGCCCTGAGTGACTTACGTATCGAGGTGCAAGCACTCAAGGCTCAGCTGGGGGATCTGATGACGAAATTCGAGCAGTTCTCAGAGAACGCCACACGCAAATTAAACTACAGTGCTGATGAGCTCTGCCGCATGCGCCAGAGCCAGTCGACCAGCACGGACCCACATTGTCAAAGCCGCCATTACCACCGATGAGATTGGACGAGTGTCTAAAGAAATGTTTCCAGTTTTACTTTGATATACCATTAAAGAACAGAAATAGTTAGGTTATGAGTGCACCACTCCTGATTGCTTGAATGTTGAACGCCTAGCGAGAGCTGGTCAGCCATTTGTCATTGGCCTGATTCCAAACAAGCGTCTCGTCATTTGGTTGGGGATCGCCAGGGGCTATAAGGGTCCATGTTTGCGTTTTCGGATTATATGCAAAGTTCTTCGAGTTGAAAGGTGGCGGCGGAGCTGTTTGACTCACGAGAGGGGGCCGAGTGATGGGCACAATATTCGGATATGCGTTGGGGGTACCAATTGACTGGCTACTGATGTACGCTACCTGCGACTTGGGATTGTGGTTGTCGGCGGGCGCTGCCAGCACCCCGACCTGCCAGATCAATGCCACAAGAGCTGTAAGAACGATCATCGACTGGTGTTTTCATTTCTACAGAGATAGTGCGTATCAGACTTACTGCACATGTAGGACACACCGAACCACGACATTCTGTCGAAAGAAATCGCCGTTAAAATGTCGTACTAAACAGACAAACGGCGCGATTGCGACTGCTCTAGAGACTGAGACTGAGATTCAGATTGCGTTTGAGTTGGGGTCGGCCTTTCACATGCCACAGATACAAGCGCGAGATTTTATTACGTTTTTATACATATGCTTACGACACTGATGGATCGACTGTTTTATTACTCGTAGAAAGCTGCAAAATTACATTTTGAGGGTTATATCCAGCCACATCTATTCTCGCCTCATCTGGGCAGGGAACCGGGGGGGCTGGTGGGGCTTCTATGTATTCCGACAAGCTCCCAAATGTATCCGTCGGATATCTACATGCGTTTCATGGGAACTCATGACCTTTTGATCAGGTGCGATTATCAGTCATTTCCACTTACTCTGACCACATCTTACGGCGCAGTCGAATTTCCCTCCATTGTAGTAGTTCACGTTGTCGCTGCCACAGATGGGATTGTACTCGCTGGTCGCCGGACACGACTGCAAGCAGGCCAGGTACTGCGGGGACTGGGTAGTGGGTTGTGGAGTCGTTGTTGTGCCCCCACTTTCCGGCTGTTGCTGCGGCGACGCCAGCCAGGGGTTTCCGACTCCCAGCTCGTTGCTGGACTGAGGATAGGCCGAGAGGCCGACAATCAGCAGCGCAATGCCTAGGAGGAGAATGTATGGTTTTGTCGCTTAGTTGCTGCCGAACAGATAAGACACAACCCACCCAATAGACGGATATTTTCCATTGTAGACAAGACCAGCGCCCAGCGGGTTGTGTGCTTGACTCTGAAACTATGACAGGTCTGAATCAGAGCAAGCTTGATGGGGAATTTATAAGCGTACACCTTATCCGATCCGATCCATCCATATATTTACCCTCTGCCCATAACAAAGAGGGTTCTCTCTTCTCTCTCATGCTTTTAATATTATTATATATGTACATACACATGTATACACGTAAGGAGTATTATTATAGGGCGATACTGGCAAAAGGAACATTTTATTTACTTCTGAATCGATAAACCAGTATTGAGAGATCAATGTTTATTTGCACTGAGAGTGCGGGAAAACCGGACGGACGAGAATGAATTTGTTTGTATAATTTCTTTGTGTATTATGCGTACCGTACGTGCGTACGAGATACGGTACTGACAGTTGTTTGATTTTGATTTATTGTTCGGGATATTCTGCAATTTGAATTTGTTTTCTAAAAGCTTTACAATTTAGACAACTCAATAATTTCTATAGAGCTCACTTAGATATGAATGTGCTATGAATAAGTAGATGGAGCATCACAGATTTAATTTAGGCCTAGCTTTCGCCTAGCTATGTTTGAATATGTATGAATAAGTTTTGGCTGAAACTTTCGGATCAGATATGTTTGGTTAGCGACTGCGGCCAAAAAAGTAAATTATATACTATAAAAGTATAATTATAGACTGTTTTGCCGCATGCTATAGATCCGCTGCTGTGAATTTGGGTGGTATTGCTGTTGCTGGCGTATGCGCGCCAGGTTTTGTTGCTGGTGGTGGACCTGCGCTTGTGCTTGAGACCCAACAACATTTGAGGTAGTAGGACGTAAACTGTTGGCAGTGTCACAGTTGGTCGATCGTTGTTGCTGATTGTGTAGCGACTTTAGCTTGTTTTTACCGCTTAGCTGATTTTTGGGCGCGTTCAGTGGATGCTGGCTCTCGATATGCAGAAACCCAGTCAACTTGTTGTCCCGTATCATAAGGTAAATGGGTATCACGGAAAGCAACTGCAACTTGCGGGGCGTCTGCCTCACGTTGAGCTCGGCGATCAATATAAAGTTGGGCGCATTCTGTGCGTTCACGAGAACCTTCTGCGTTTTGTAGTTAATGCTGATAACATGCCCCGATTCCAGGGTAACTACATTCATCATGTGCTGGTATATTTCCATGACCACAGCGGTCATGCGGACTCGCTGCTTGTTGCCCACGAATCGCTTGAAGTACAAGTTGCACGACTCGTCGCCTGCATTTTTGGCATTGTACTTGCGCTCGTTCGCAATTTTTATTAGCGAGTGCAGATCTGCGGGAGTACGGCACGGGGGTGGGCAGTAGTGAAGCGCAGCTGCCAGTAGACTAGAACAGAAGATACAGAGTTATGCAAAGCAAAGGAAAACATGGAAATGTACGGCAATTACCGATGCACCATTACGTCGGGATAGCGACGAATCGGGCTGGTGAAGTGGGTGTAGATAGGAATAGATAGGGCGTAGTGCCAGAGATCGGCCGGCTCAGTTCTTCCTTCGCTGCAAAAGTAGCTGCAATTTGAAAAGTAAAGTTCAGAGTCAAACGTATTGAGAGTCAAAACGGCAGCGTCACTTACTTAGCCCTTGCCATCGGTTTCATCAGCAGGCGACTGAGGCAGAAGCTCATCGCAAGGGGATTGGGGGCCTCTTGGCACATTCTTATGATGCTCTGTTGAAGGGCCTTGGAAGAGCTGTAGTCCAAATTAAAGCCCAAGGTCTGAAACTTCTCCCGCAATGCCTTTAGTGACTTCATAAGCGGCGGCGGGTGATTGCGAAGCACGGCAATCTCCGGGAACGCGTCGTATATAAACCGCGCCACAGCCTGGTTGGCCAAAAGCATATACTCTTCTATCATGCGATTAGCCTCTCTCTGCATCTCCACCTCAAAGTCTTCTGGCTCGCCACTGATTGGATCGAGGACAAAGCGCAGCTTGGGATTGTTGAAACTAATGGACCCTTTTTCATAGCGTGCTTTACGCAGCGAGCTCGCAATGCCATTTAGGCAGAGCACTCGCTTTACTACATCACTGGTTTGAAAGCCGTTCAGGACGGTGGGGAAATCGTGTTCAGTGAAGCGCTCGTGCGGATTATCAATGATCTTCTGGGCGTGCTCGTAGGCAAACTGAGTGCAGGACCTAATAATGGTGCGAGTAAACCGGGGCTTTTCCTGCAGCTGCACCCCGTTTCTGTCCATACGCCAAAACACCGAAAACGCAAGCTTATCCTCACCAGGCAGCAGAGAACAGCGCATGCAGAGCGTTTGCGGAAGCATGTGGATAACTTCGTTTGCCAGATAGATTGACGTGGAACGCTCTTTGACGATATTGTCCAACTCGGAGTCCTCTTCAAGGTAGTGAGACACGTCAGATATGTGCACGCCGATCTCATACTCGTTATCTCCCAGCTGCTCAATGGAGACTGCGTCATCCAGGTCACGCGCAGTCAGTGGATCTATGGTAAATATGCATTTCTTCCGCAAGTCCTGACGTTTGTCTAGATCTTTCGTGCTCCCCGGAGGAATGTGGTTTACGAACATGTCGTTAAATCGTTGCTCGAAAGGTTTTATATCGCTCAAGTTGTTGTGGATCATAATGGCCTTGATTTCGTCCGGCAAATTACCAATGCGGCCCACTGGCTGAATCAATTCCGCAATACAGTGGCCATTGCAGTCAGTCTCGAGGATGTGGGCTAAGTAGAGCAGGCCACACACTTCAGCTGGCTGTTTGTTTCCTATGTGCATCTTGCAGGTTTCTTCCGGTATGTAGACCATCGGAAGGCGCAGATCGAAGGGGCGAAACTTGTAAAACAAATGACCCTTAGAAAGCTCCGTTGGATTGGTAAACGATATAGAACCGACAATTTGGCGAAGCTCGGTTTGCTTTACAATCCCTATGACGAACGCCTTGGGGCAGTTGTCTGACGATATTACGACAACATTGTCAGCATCGGCGTCCGAGTCCTGTGACGCGGTCTCCTCAGAGAACTCCTCGTCTTCGGCTGTCAGTGGAAAGCGGTTAATCAGTTGCAGGGTTTCACTTTGTCTTTTGTGGAAAAAGAAACTTACCGAGGGTCATGGATTGAGCGCCAACATTTAAAACGAAGGCACGCACCGTATCCCCTTCGAAGGCGTAGCGTCGAGCCACTGGCAACAGTACAATACCGTCACGCTCGAGACCTTCACGATCAGTGGACATTGTGATAAACGCCTGCTTATTGTTTTTGCGATTTACTCGAATTTCATCCTCGACGACGCGACCAAGCCCTTCTTTTGCAAGGCGCTGCGCATGGGCCTCCAGGTCGGAAAAGTCCCCAGTAAATTTCAAACTTGCTGGAAGTTTGTGCTCCGCACCTATGTAGTTCCGAACAATCGTGTTGATATACGCGCGCATCGCCTCCAGTTCGGTCTTTAATGACTGTGTTTTAGTGTTTTCACCTGCCGCCGCGTCTCGTTTCTTACTTTTGCGCTTCCGTGCGGATTTGGCTTCTTGTGTGGTCGCTTTTTGCTTGTTGTTTGTTGTGGTGCTGTTGCTGCTTGCGCTTGACACCTCCGACTCGCGTCGTTTGGGTTCCTCATTCCCGTGCTGATGCCTTCGATTAACGTCGCTGCCACCGCCAATACGCTGGGGCATTTGGCGACGATTAAATTGTGGAGACATAGCTACCTGTTGTCGGCCCTTGTCATCAGGGGGTGTCCAATCCAGCTGCGCCAGCACATCACTTTGGCGAATGAGGCGAGCCGCGTACGCATTGACATCTGGAGACAGCAATGAAATCTTTTGAACTAGCTCCTGTAGAGCGGTTACCTCCTCCCTGAGGGCTCGCTTAGACAATTTTCTTTGCTTAACAGGTTGTTGGGCTGTCGAGTTGGCTATCGAACAGGCTGGCTTCATATGAGCCTCCACTTGGGGCGGATTTGTATGCATTGGCATCTGCTCCGGCGCCGCAGTGTTAGATGGTCCTGGCAAGTGATATTGCACGTTCATTGGAATTGAAGCCCCGACCATAACGGAGCCTGCGGAGCGTGCCGTCTGTGACGGCTGTTCAATAGGTGGTGCTGTAGGACTACACCACATATCTGATGGCAGTGATGCGTTGATGCCCGTAAAGTTACTTGCACTTTTCGACTGCAACTCCATCTCTCGGCAAGCCTGGTGCAGACGGGCCGCGAGGCGTTGGGACCGTGCACGCAGGAAATCGGTGTCGATGGGCCCCGAATGCGGTTGATTTGTCTCTAGCGTCGGATTCAAGGGAGCACTGTCTGCGCTACAAATT